CTCTCCAGTACCCCGGAATAGACTTTCCCAGGGAGGCTGAGAAGTGTGATCCCCCTGTAGTTGGAACACACTCTCCGGTCCCCTTTCTTAAGTAAGGGGACCACCACTCCGGTCTGCCAATCCAGCGGTACTGTCCCTGACCTCCACGCACTGTTGAGAAGGCGTGTCAGCCATGACAGCCCCACAACATCCAGAGCCTTCAGGTACCCCAAACGAATCTCGTCCACCCCTGGGGTCCGGCCACTAAGGAGCTCTTTAACCACCCTGGCAACCTCAGCCCCAGTGATGGGCAAGTCCGCCCCAGCCCCCTCTGGCCCCGTGCCCTTTGATGTCTCGAAGGCGGTGCGCATAGATTGAGGAGGTCCTCAAAGTATTCCTTCCACCATTGGGTGATGTCAACAGCACCCCCTCTCCACTGTAAACAGTAGGAACCAGAAGCTGCTTCCCCCATATGGCGCATAAGCGCTGCAACTCCAGAAGAGCATCCAGCCCCTCTGCAGGAGATTGGTTCCAGAACCCACGCTATGTGTTGAGGTGAGCCTGACTATATCTAACCGGTATCTCTCAACTGCACGCACAAGCTCAGGCTCCTTCCCCACAAGAGAGGTGACATTCCATGGCCCGAAAGCCAGTTTAGTCAGCCGGGAATCAGACCGCCAGGGTCTCCCTTGGCTTCCACCCGATCCACGTCGCACCGAACCCAAGCCATTCCCCTTGTGGGTGGGCCCACATGAGAACGGTCCCGCAGACCTCTTTTGGGCTGGGCCCCACAGGCCAAAGCCCAACCACCAGACGCTTGCCAACGAGTCCCTCTCCCAGGTCTGGCTCCAGGGTGGGGCCCTGGTGACCCTAATCCGGGCAAGGGTAACGAGACCTTGCTGTAATACTCAAATTTTCACACAAATACTCACAAATTTACGGACATCAAACTTCATCTCTGGAAAGACAAGCCGATCCGAAAGAGATGGGGGCTTTGGAACTGGATGGGTCATCAGGGTATTTCAAACAGATGAGCCGAGCAAATGGCGAACTGTGGTTTCACTCTCACTTAAACACACAAAATGGTAAAGCCATGTGAAGCAGGCTGATGTTCCTGCAGGTTTCTTTTTCTAACACAAAAACATTAAACTTGCTTTATACTACCTTTCCATGTTCAATATCGTGTTTAATATACAGACATAACAGTTGGGGGTGGGGGGGACTTTTCATCAAACTCACAATCCTGCAAGTATGAGGCCAAAAACTGATAATTTTATATGCATTTTAACTTTATGTAAAAATGTATACAAGATTTTGCACAAACCATTTAATATTTCAAAATGGAATTTTTGCTATAATCCTTAATATAATCCTTGGAAAGATTTGAATTAAGTAAGCTAAACCCAACAAATAACAGCAGTGAATACTACAGGAAGCAAAATTTTAAACTAATTTTCACCTTTATGTGCAGAAGTAATATTTTAAATAATTTCTTTTAACATGCTATTTTACACATTGTGTTTTCACTTTAATATGCTTTGATAGTCATTTAAATTGAAAGATACACCAGGAACCTTATACAGTACAATGCATCTAAATGTTTCAATAGTGAAATGTGTAGACTATGAAATAAGCATGATATGGATCATTTATTTCATAACACAAAAATGTTCTCTGCAAAAATATAAAAATAAATTATATATAGTTATTGTGATAGGAGTGTTGAATCCATCCATCCATCCATCCATCTTCTTATTCAGAACAAGGTTGCTGAGAAAACAAATATTACATTTCTTAAAAGAGTCTAATAGTAGGCATATTTCCTGCACTAACTATTATTACTGTGCATACTGTTATTAGTTTATTATTTAAATAAGCTCTGAACATCAGGTGGAGTATTCCTTTAACAGCGGGCAGAAACATCACCACTTGTCTTCCAGATTAAAGTCACCATAGTAACAGAGAAATTACCGGAGAGGATGGGAGTGCTGTGGAGCGGTCCCGAGTCGCAGGTGTGTGAGCCTGGCTCTCCACAGAGCTGCCAGCTTCCTGAGCCTGTGTGCACAGCATGCTCTAATGTGCTGCCTGTCACACCTAGAGCACCAGAGTATGATAGAGGCAGCGTCTCTGGAGTACAAGCTTTCGTCTGCAGTGCAGACCTTTCCTCTGGGGTCTTATCGCAGTGTGCGGTCTATGTTTAGTTGCCATATACAGAATGCATTCATACAGAAGCAACACAGGCAAACAAACATCATTATTGCCACAGTGAGGAGACTTACTGTGAACACTTCAATCTGGAGGTGAGATCAGATTATTATTACTACAGGCACACCCAAATACATTTTGCACTTCTTTCATTTCAGTCTAGCAGTTCATTAATGTGTCAGGCCCACGGCTGTGGTTAGAGTGTTTTCACATCAATGACAATTCAATCTAGCAGCCCAGGTGTTACTCCTCAGGTGATCTTACATTTGTTTAAAATTAGACACCATTAAGTCAGCTTAAGCAAGGTCAGGTTAGTGCAGACAATTTAGGGCACCATTCCTTGCTTGCAGAACGTACTACACAAATGCCACAGTGCCCCTCCATGCCAGATCTCTGGAATTAACTGGGAGCTGAATTCTCAGCAAGTAAACTACATATTAACATATCAGTTGCGCCCAATATATATCCATTGAAGAGGGATTTTTACAAAGCGCATCATAGAATAAATTTCTCCCCAAATCAGAGGCCTTTCATTTGTACTCCTGTCTTATAAATCTACTTCAAAATAGCACAGGGTTACGCAAATGGAGATTCAGCAAATGCCTCGGAAAAGGACTTCCAACAAACTGCAGAACCATAAATAGGTGCAAACAGCCAAAATTGCCCAAAGGATTGTCTGTGTGTATGTGTTTGATAGCTCTTAATATGGCCATTATTTCTCTGATGTAAGTGTACACTAACCTTGCTCAAGTTCCAGACAGTAAATGTGAAAAGGGCCCATCTTACATGCCTTCCCTGGCTGATATGATGCCACCATGCAGCCAGTAACACTTTCTTCTCCTGGCATTGTTAACTTTAGAGTGGCTGCCGTCGGCCAGAAAATGCTAATTTCTAGCACTGATAGATAACACATTGCAGGAGAAGTTCTGCTAACCTTTTCTGTAGCTCTCTAGGAGAGCCATGCAGCAATGATTAATGGGGCAAAAAAAGCTGCAAGGCAAGGAGGTGAAAAAAGGACATGCAATCAACACAACAGAGTGCATCATGGGAGCTTCTCTGGGAACTCTGGTCCTAATGGTCTGGGACCACTCATCACCTTCATTTATCTGTCGTCATACAGATTTAATACACATAATGCTTTAACAAAAGTACCACTTGTTTTTTCAGTGGCATTATATTGCATACAAAGTTGGATGGATGGATCGGTGGGATTTGTTTTCCAGAGAAACGTACAATCATCCAGAAAAATTCATTTATGGCATGTTCTTCAATGTTTCTTAAACATTATACAAATGTTAAACACCTTTCGTAAATACACAGTGGCATGTATCTTACAGTCTCACCCTCACACACAAACTAAATCCAAGCAGAAAAGGACCCAGGCACAGGACTCTGCTGCCTCCCACTGGTGCTGGCAGGATGGACTCTTAAAAAACCGCATGTTGAGAAGATCCACTTAAAGTTGCAACCGAAAGCAAACTGACCCATCTCATATACTAAATAAATTTTAAGTTATTAAAAAAAATATATGTATTTTGGGGAGGTCCTAAAGAGCACACACGCACTGCTGATAAAATAAACATTCTGATACATGCTGAGGACAGATTTCCAACTGGAGTCTTTGCGGGAACCTTACATCTGAATATATGGAGAGGCAGAAATAGGCTACTGCTGGCAGATGAGTGCACGACTGCAGCCTTTGAGGATAGCTTCACGTCCGTCCTAAAAGGCACCACCACTGCTGTGAATCCATGGGGAGGTTAAAGCACAGGCTGAAGCTGACATTACAAAGAAGCCCTGCGACTGCAGCCATTCAGAGCTGTGCTTAATTTCCATATCAATGCATCAGTACTCACCTCCATCAACTGAAACATGCAACCCAAAATATACATTCTATATACTCTTCATTCATTGGCCCTGCAGCCAGAGGAGGAGATTCAGAGAAGACTCAGCACTTATGCTGTGCTGAATGACTAGGAAACAGGTCATTAGAATGCTTTAGCTTTAAGTATGAGTACATCCAAAGTAGGAAAGCACTGGTGACTGAGGTTAGCTCAGACCAACACAGATTACATGCATAAAAAACCCATTAACAACCTATAAAGCAAAAAACTAATTAACAATGACAGATGAGATTTTGTAAACACGTACATACACAAGAAATGCACGTTTTCTGACCTAAAACTGTTGTTAGGATTTTGTTTTCCTTATTGTTTAAATACCGATCATACCATTGCCTCATGACTCATAATATGACATGGGATACTTAAACTGGCCCTGGTGAAACTCTTCTTCTTTGTTCTGGGGGGTTATTAATAGAAGAGCCAGCACAATAGCTCCTGCTGCGCTGACATAATGCACAGGCACGCAGGCTGCCTTCATTACGCACGGCCTGTCCTTGCTGCTCTCTGCGTCACCTCAGAACAACAGAGGCCTCAGAGGAGCCGGGAGCGAAAGGCAAGCTGTGGAGGAAACAGGTCTGCCAGAGACCAGCGCCCTGATCCGAGGATGCAAACTAACCCAAACAATAATGTACACAAAGAGCTACATCTCCCATCAATTGCTGAGGTTTTAAAAAATATTTTTTTCAAAGCTATACCTGCATTTTTATAGCTACATGGTAATTTTAGCAAAACACAGGTCCTTGGCACATTTGGATTCCCTGTTCTGTAAATGAACAACTTTATACAGGAATTTCTGCAAACTGGTTGAAAGCACAGAAGTTGACATATTTTTACATTTCATAGAGCTGGACTCAGAAAAATAAAACCAATAAAAAAAAAAATGTTTAAAAAGTTGTCTCAGAGTCATTGACATACTGAGGCATTGCTCAATCATTTATTTGATTCTCCTCACTGTATTTTTATAGAAAATTGAGAAGAAAAAGCCTAGTACAAACATTTAAAAATGACTAACAGAAAGAGGCTGTACAAATTGACAGGACATCCGTAAACGTACAGGCCGCTCCGAAAGTCCACAGCGTCCGCAGCGGCCCAGACTCATGTGCTGGCTTTTCTCGTATCTTCTGCATTGGAGATGTTCTGTTTTTTTTTTTTTTTATGTAAGGCGACCGTGTCAATGTCCCTGGCAGCCGGGCTGAGGTGGGGATACCTGCTCTCTCAGGAGTCCCACCCCCAAGGTCCGACAAAAACACAGAAAAAAAACCTTGCGGCACGGACATTCCTGCCAGGACTCCTTGCAGCCATGAAACTTGTGCTTCGTCTGCCACACAGTGATCAGTCTTTGTTAGCTTCCAGCTCATTGTGAAGGCGCCTGACGCCAGCGACCCTATCACTTTCATTTCATGATCGACCATCATAATTAATATCAATTTTACCAATGTCATCTGTACTTATACATATTTACTAACTATTATTACCACCACCAGACGCCAGGCCTCAGACAAACTACGACTGTGACACAGGAGCAACTGTGGGGGTGCCAGTTAGCCCCACGACCCCCCCCCCCCCACAGGTGTCCCTGGAGCCTGGGCCATCAGGGCAGGGATTTTAAGGGGGAAATTGCGTCCAAGTGACTTTCAGGGCAGTGCTGGGAGGAAGTGAAGGGGCCAGAGGTGGGTAAGTGCTATTTATTGCGAAGAAGCTCCAGTTGGTCCTGGAACTCTGTGAAGACACGCTGGAAACGCAGGTTCTGCCCGATGACAGGGAGCACTTCTTTTAGGAGGTCCTGCTTCCTCAGGCCCTGCACATGGGTCACAGGATCAAAGGTCACATGGTGTACAGCAGCATCACACACTTGTGTTGGGCCTGATAAGTAAAACAAGGAATTCCTGCTAACTGAGTCAACTTGCATCACTGGCTGAGAAAGCAACTCCAACAGGAAATGACATTCTGGACATCACATGATTTAGACAACTGACAGATGAAAAGCAGGGACCTAAATTAATGAACGGAAACAAAACTGCCAAATGCTGCACGATGGCGCTCACCAGAATTGTGGCTTCCCAGATGCTTCCGGCAGACTTGTGCACTGGTCCCAGTAAGTCTCTGCAAAGCTCTCGGAGCCGATGCTCAGAGCCTGAGGGATAAACACCATTGAATGGACGGCTGCATTCGCACACTTTCTAGGTACTTTCTGGAGAGCAGGGATGGATGCATGGGCCCCTCACACACCTTCATTGACCAAGAAACGTGCATAGGTGAGTAGCCAGTGGCGGTACTCCTGGCTTGACTTGAGGATGAGGGCTGACGCCAATTGGTTCTCCAAGTAGGCCAGGGTGACTCTCTGCTGCAGGTGGTGAGGTGTGGATGCCAGCCTGGATGCCAAGCGTCCCGCACTGCAATGAAATAGGCCAGTGAATGGCAGAGCCGGACAGGCAGCCAAGCAGGCATGTCAAGAGCAACAGCATTTAAGAGAATATCGGACAGGTCTGAGGACAGCTCTTAAGATCTGCAGGCTGTGATTTGAATCAGCAGGAAAACAGATTGCAGCCTCTTATCAAGTACTTTCAACAAATGAGACCCCACAGATCATAAATAAAATGTTTGCTATGAATAAAGAAGTCTAGTAAGAAAAAAAATAAAAGTATGTTTTAGCCCCACAGTGTTATAAATATAAGAAATGCATAAATATATTGTGTGGCAAGCAGTTTAGAAAGGCTACCAATCTTACTTCAAAGCCCGGCCCTGCATGATAGCCAGAGGCCCAGAAGACAGCAATGCATCCTGGGAGGGCAGGAAGTGCCTGAAGTCAGCGCACTGCACTAGAGGGTCCTGCTTGTCTGCAATAAGGTTCCTGAGGAAGGCAGAATACAGCAGTTATACTTATTGTACAGAGTAAATGCCAGCAACATTCTGTCTGCTGCTTCCCACACCTACGAGCAGGCCTCACCACGTCTCCAGGGAGGAGCTGAAGCAGTAGGACTTCCCGTTGGAGAGGCAGATGACAGGTACACCCTGCTGGGTGAGCAGGGACTGAGAGACCGTCGCGTCGCCACCTGGAGGAGGGTGCGAGATCATGCAGTCACAATGCATCCGAGTCCAAGTCGACCTGCTGCGCTTGCAACATTGCAGCTGTCAGTTTCCTGTACATTTCCCACAATCCTCTCTCCTAGTGCAACCCAGCATCACAGGGCCCCTAATGTGTTTTGAGTTCTGAATACAGATTTAATAAAAGGAAAAACCATAAGTATCCCTACTCAGGACCAAGGTTTTTATTGCTGTGATAAAAAAAGAAATGAAGATTAAAACCTTACCGGATAAGATGGTCAGCAGAGATACATTTCTCACAACAACTGTTTGTTTCTTAACGTCCCTAAAACAAGCAGGCATTTTGTTAGAGAATCCTTAAAATTGAAATAAAAAGCAATGAGAAAAAATGGGTATTTTACAAGTCAAAGCACTGGTGGTTTAAGGTTTGTAATACTGAACCCGACATGGACGTCATCTGTAAGTTTAGTGAAAATGTAGAAGTGTAGGTGTGAAGTGGGCAACAAGTTTAAGAAAAAGAAAAAGAAAGAAAAAAAACTGTGTGGAGCAATGTTGTAGTACTCAATTCTGAGCTTGGTCTCAAGACCACTTCTTCACTTACTAGGTCTTGTTCTGGAATTGGAAGCATTTATACTCAGTCTTGAAATTAATCAATTTCAATTTGCAACTACGGTTCATAATTTTAAAGCAAGACGTAAGATTTTTTCCACTAGTGATAAACTATTTCTCCTTCTCCTCTCAAAATAACAATATATGCTAATCAAAATAAAAATCATTATTCACATATGTTCTTTTTTTTTGGAGAGTCCCAGAGTGCAACACTACCTTGGAAATCCCTTCAGAACAGACAAGATTCAGTTTTTATTTATTTGATCTATGTTAATCACAAATGAATTTTCTTACATGCAAGCACACTCTGCTGTACAGAAAGATCTAAACTCAGTCCAATGACTATTGTTAGAATCTGAATGAGCGTGATCACCTTTTGTTTCATGTGGTTAGTTCTCCCCAGAAGCTCTTGCGAATTACACAGGTATAACTATTCTTATGCTGATTTTTCAAGTTCTCTGATTTGACATATTACATGGTCACCTTAACTTCCCATAATGAATAATAAAATGCTGTGCCCCTATTTGAAGTGACACAATTTTTCCCGTATTTTTGGACCAGGCTATTTTATTTTCAGATATGTCTTGAAACTGGATTTGAATTTTTCCAGTCTCAGTCTCGACCCTCTCAAAGTCTTGGTCTTGACTCTGACTGTACTCTTATGATCTAGAACTCGATGTGAATCTCAGAAGTCGAACCATGAACGCCGACCTAAGATAACATGTACCCGCGGGGAAATGAGTCACGCGGCACGTCACTCAGCGGAAACAAAGGGTAACGATTCAGTCTCAGCCTTGCATTCGCTGTGAGAGCATCGTGCATGTTTACACTAGCTGAATACATATATTTAGACAGTAAAAATACATTTAGACAATGATACAGTAACTAATTATTATATAATAAAATACATTTAAAAATAAAGATTTCTTATTTATTTTAATATCATTAATAATAAACCATTAATACATTGAATTATAATAATATTGTCGTGCAGACGTCAGGGTATTGGGGAATACGGGGTTTAATTACAGGTAAGGTAGGCAAAATGCAGACGGACAATACAATGACCGGACTGGGGAAACAAACTGAAACGCGGACTAAATACAACAACCAGAAACAGCTAATCACACGGCGATTCCACACGAGGTTAACGAGGGGGCGTGGCTCACGGAAGGCACGGACGATCGGGTTAAGACACATTGTTTTTTTTTGTTTTTTTTACTTTACATATTGTTTGGATACATTTATTTTCTTACTTTACAAATTACTGTTTTGATAAATGTGCTTAGATGTGTTTAGTAGAGTATATGCTCTTCTTGTTTTATCCTGTCCATTTTGTGCTTAAATGCTAACAAAAAAAACATTTAGGTGTAATTTTTTTGGGGCCGGGAACCAATTAATTGGTTTTCCATTATTTCTTATAGGGAAAATTTGATCAGAACTTGAACTTTTTAGGATTTGAACCTAAGTTCTAAACGGATTAAGTTCGAGTTCTGAGGTACCACTGTATGTGGTTTTGTATGTAAAATTGTCTGGACTAGATGACTGTTGGGATGGAATCAGATCAAAGGGGGCATGAGTTTATGAATGACAGCAGCCCAGAAGTGTGTTGTTCTGTAGATGTCCTAGGACCAGGTGGGTGTGGTTCTATAGATGTTTTAGGACCAGGTGGGTGTTTTCAGACCAAGGGGGTATTCCACAAAGCAGGGGGCAGTTCCACAAAGCAGGATTTCTTGCTTAGCTGGATAACTTGTCAGATTTAAGGTAATCTGGGCTAAATGTAAAGGAACGACCTTAAATCCAAGAAGTTATCTAGCTAAGCAAGAAATCCTACTTCATGGAATACGCCCCAAGATTTCCCAGTTAGCTGGGTTAACTTGATTGTCCAATAGAAATGCTCCTTAGCTAAACTGTTATTTGATGATAATTGCTAGCTTAAATTAACCCAGCTGAGAAATTCTGTTTCATGGAATGCCCCCTCAGATGGGCAAGGTTTTGTGTTTTCAGACACAGATGATAGCAATAAAGGACTCACCAGACAGAGAGTGACGCACAGGCCGTCAGGGCCATGACAAAGGAGCCAGAGCAGTGGAGGGCAGACAAGGGCGCAGGTAACAGGATGGCAGGTAGCAGCCGCCGCCCACAGGCTGAGAACACGGACAGCATGCGGTCCTCACAGGCCACGGCGATGACATCGCTGAGGACACAGAGAAGCCCGTTAACAGAAAAGGAACCATGACTCCACATTCAGGGCCTGGCAGGATCACTATCACTGAAGGCCTAGTATGCTGTAGTAGTGAGCTGCTGAGACATTTCTAAGGGGGGTGGGGAGGGGTGCTATATGACAGGAGAGCTACTCGCCTGCTGCCGGCCACAACGAGGATGCGGCTGCTCAGGAGTGTGTCCCACTCGCGACCCTGCCGTGCGCACCGCAGCTGACTGAACCGCACCCCTGCTGCTGAGGACACCTCGTTCTCCACCTCGATGTGGACTGATGGCTCCACGCTCACCTGAGAGGACAGCAGGAGCAGTTAGCATACCAGTGCTAGAAAGTACACTGCAATCTGAGAGAGAGACTGAACGCTCATCTAAGTTAAACTGCAGCACATAATACTCAGCAGTGTTTTAGCATCACATGATGCAGAATTATGAACTGTATGCAAACTCACTGTATGGAGGGAGTATTACAGACGCATCCTGAGTGGAACCTTAAAATACACCATCTTTCTTACAAGGCAGGGGCAGACTAACCTGGATGGAGAAGGTCTTCTGTGGAGCAGGAGTGGGCAGCTTGAGCACCACTGTGGGGGCCGTGATGCGAGAGGGCTCCCTCTCTGCTGAGGGTGCCACCTAAGCGATAGGTCAAAGAGAAGCTCCATCAAACAACCAGCCTTGTCAATGGCCAAACACCAGGGCCGGTATGCATAAAACATGCATAAAGCATTTAAGAGTTTCACTCTTAAATGCGTCATAATTCTAAGAGTGACGTGATTTTGCTCCTACTCCCAGACTTAAGAATAAGTGGCATGCATAAACATTCTTAAGTGTTAATTTAGGAGCTGAGACCAAGTTTTATTTAAGACACCTGGAGAGGACTCCTAAACCAGTTAGGAGTTGCACGGTGGCAGCAGCACTACACGTACTAAGACGGAGACCGCGCACTTTCCATGAAAGAAAGGACCTACTGCAGATTTACGATAACGAGTTGATAAAAAGATACAGGCTTGATCGTGAAGGCATTCTTTTTGTTATAGACCTAATTAGGAACAGAATACAATCTCCTACGTCACCTAATAATGCACTTGCAGTTGAACTGAAGGTGATAATGATGCTACTTTTTTGGCAACTAGAAAAATATAATAGTAATCATAATAATAATCATCATCATAATCTATTATAGCGAGGGTCATGAGAGCAGTATAAGTAATGGCACAAACCTGTAGCTTGCATGCTTGCTTTATAAACTGTGATTTCCTTTCACGAGGTCGATAAAACATACCACCTTTTTTCACATTCCTCTGCCGAACGCCTTGTCTGAGGTGACGCAGCATTTACGGAGTTTGCAATAGCCTCCTAAGCTTTTTTTGTCCGTGCTTGTAACAGCTGGGCCAAACTTTCCTCGCACTACCTCCTTCCATTTAAGCGCCAACTGTGCCAGTAAAACCGTTTCGTTTGTCGTCCAGTTTGGGTTTTTTTTAGAATACATTGTCTTGCTATGACTTTTGCGTTTGACCCATAATATATACAACATTGTGCATCTATTAGTGGAAATTGAGTGGTGATGTGCTAGATAGATTTTAGTACAACCAATTAAAGGTATGATCACAGAAAGGTATGTTGTATAAAGCTCTACATTAGTGGTTTAATGTCACTAATATATTCACCGTGCCGCTTCTCTATTGGTTGAACTCAGTATTTGGGGCGGGATTTTATTTGTAGTTCTCATTTCACAACACTTAAATGCTGCCTCTGTCAGCACTTAGGAATTGGGCTTAGACTTTGCTGAAAGTTACTTTTAGCATCTTTATGCAATGCTCTTAGGTCCAACTTTTTGCTAAGATTTTTTTAACTCTTAAGTCAAAGTGTACGACCATTCTCAAGACCATTCTTAGGAAATTTTATGCAACCCGGCCCAGGTAGCCTTGATGCTTTGTAAACATGTGACCTGGCAGATACCTGCTGATTGGCCTGAGACATCAGAGGCATGGCTTTGGAGTCCTTCCGCGGTCGGCCCTTCTTCCTCTTCTCCACCACCTCCATGCTCTCTATCTCTCCTTTCCTCTTGGTGAAGGACAGTGATTTGACAGCTACCATTTTGTCCTCACTGTCGCTGCTCGTGTCCTCCTTGGGCTTAAGCTCCTTCACAGCACCCCCATCCTTCATTCTGTGAGCAGTGCAGCCCACAAAGAACGATTCACTTTGCACACAGTCTATATGCATCATGCTTTCCTGGCCTGGATCAGGTATCACAGCATGCTAATGAGCTGAGTGAGCATAGCCAGCACTGCTGAGCCCTCTGTAGCAGGGACAACCACCCCAGCACTGAAAGCCAGTTTGCAGTAGCTTAACTAATCTCTCCGAAAGGGGGCTAAAGTGGGGCAGTTCAGAACATTTGCTGTATCTGAACCCAGGCCAGTCAGACCTCCATAACTATTATAATAGCTCTGCTCTATGAAGCTAAATAGCTCTGTTCTACGAAGCTCCTTCTGTTAACTATTAAAGTACCTCTCCTTCCAATCATACTATCCTCCCGCAGCTCCCCCATACCTGTCCAGAGGGCTGAGGCCAACAGATGAAGAGGAGATGGTGACCCCTGGCGTGGCCTTTGACCTCTCAGTGAACCGTGAGTCCAGCGCCTTCATTGGCTCGATCTTAGTGGCAGAGGTGAGCAGGAGGTTGGTTTTCATGGAGGTGGAGTTCATGGCAGGTGCAGGAATGGTGCCCAAGGGGTTAACACTGCACAAAGAGAAGGAAAACCATGGCTACCAGAAACCAGAACATGACCTGTTCACACACAGACACACCTCTATTGCTAAGTGTATAACACTATTGTTGATGGTCATTCCTTAATGGGCAGTCCCACCCTATAACCTAACCAAGGTAAAAGAAGGGTCTCATAAAATAGCCCCTTGAATGTATATTCTTTGTATATAATATGGACCATTTCAGTCTCATCTACAAGCGTGACAGTTATGTAAAAAAAAGCTCACTGCCTAAGAAAATCTGCAGGAAATGGTAATGAATGCTAATAAGGAAATGGAAAAGTAAATGCTGTAGGACGAATGAAGGCCTTCAAATATTAATAAAGACAACACACACGTAGTCTTAATAATCTGTGGGAAAAAAATGGAAGTCTTTGCACTGCACGTGTGAACAAGCCCTCATCCACTGCTTAAGATCTAACCAAATGAAGAAAGCTAAGAGCACATTGGATCTGTTAACAGCAGAGTCAGGAGCTTCTGACCATTCTTTGGTGTCATCTGTGGGCTTGCTGGGGGGCACAGCCTGGGTCTCTGGTGGGGGCCGCAAGCCCAGTGAGTTGGCAGTGTTGGAGTCAGAGGACACCTGGGGGGTCAGCTGGGAGGACATGGATGAGCCCGGCAGGATGGGGACGCTATTGAAAAGCGCTGGAGAGAAATCCCTGGGGGGGGCGGGGGGCAGACATGAGTTAAAGAGATTCTAAAAAGGTTTGTTACTTCCTAGAGACCTTTAAATACTCAAATCAATGATATACAGGTATGAACAAACATAAAACAGAATAATAGCACAGTACAGCAGTCCCCAATCCAGGACTGTAATGTCAGTGCTGGTTTTAGTAAAAACATTTTATTTTAAATACGTTGTCACACATGATCTCTAGACATTGACATATCCAGCTGGAGCCCTACAGGCATCACCACCTTACCCAGTGTCCAGCTGGGCGATACACAGGGGGGTGATTCGCCTCCGCCCATCAGCCGTCCTTGTCTCCACCTGCTTCTTCAGCAGATTCTGCAGCCCCAACACACATCACACATCCACCACTTCATCGAGGGTTAAACCATAGCAACATGCAAACCAGTTGACAGGTAATCTAAATCAGGCATGGCATCATATTTGGAAGAATATTCCATAATTACACACTGAAGCACCTTGAGTGCATTTCCCAAGTCAGGTTTTTATTCTTACAAAGAATTAAGATATTATATAATATAGGAGTGAAGTACTGCCCTGGCTATCTGAGAGCCATGACCTGAGAAAACACCAAGTTCAGCACTCTCATTTTGTTCATTCATCAACTCTGCCTGCAAGCCAGCCAAAGATTAGCTTATGGCACAGTCACTGCTGGCTGCACCTTGCGGATGTCCTCCAGCGACTCTCCATTGACCACGCTGTTGAGTTTAGGTGCCTGGGCCTCCTGGCCCACAGCATTGTGGGGCTCTGCTGCCTCCTTTGCCTGCTGGTATTTGAGCATCTCCGGGTTCTCGATGATAGTGGTGGAGAGCTGGGCTTGTGTGGTGATGGCCAGACTCTTCCCATAGATGTTCTGGTGGATTGAATTCTGGAGACATGCAAAACTATCAAATATTTTGCAACAGGAAAGCAACACCTTGGTTTCCAGAAAAACACCGTAAATACCACTCTACCCACACAAAGGCAGTTGGTTCAAGTACCCTTGAACCTGGTACTTAACTATAACTGCTAGAATATCCAGCTGTATAAACACATTTGTACATTACTTTCCGAAATATATGCAACTTTAGTTTTTCTGTATGTATCTATATGTATTGCGGTTAAGGTATATGTAAGGTATATTGCGGTATATGTAGCTGTAGAGCTGGGGACTGGCTTTAGCATTAATTATTTTTACAATGGATAGAGAATAAGGCTATAAACCATGTTGCTATAAAGTACATATTTTACAGTGCTGTCTACATCCAAGCAACCACCACAATTTGTCTAAGGATGGTCAAAATACGATTTTTAAGGATTTCAAAGCAAAATAACGTATTTCCTTACCTTTTCTTCTTCATTGAGGGGATCCCCAAGTTCATCCTGAGAAAAATCAAGAAAAGCCACAGTCCCATCCATGGAGCAGACGAGAATCCCAAGTCCATTTAGCGTCCTGTAAATGCCAAAGAGGAAACATTACCACAGAACCTGCATGCATTCCTAGGACAACAGCAGGAAACGGCAGACCCATCCCAATTGAAGCTTGAAATACTAGCAGTATGGGGAATTACCATGTGATATCCATGATGGATTTGTCGAACAAGTCATGGATCACCACGAGAGGGCGCTTCAGAGATGTCAGCTAAAAATAAACAAGTCACATTAACAGTCAAGCACTGTTCAAACCTGGGAGCCTGTATTCACACAGTGATGGCAGCTGCCTTCCATCACAAAAGCAAGCTGATGCAAAAAAGGCCAAATAAATTACTAAACATCAGTGTTAAAAAAACAAAACAAAAACATTTTAACATCACAATGCTGTCTGAAGGACAATGAGAGCCATCATGATGTAAATTACCTCAATTAATTTGAGGTAGTGACACTTGTATTTCTCACTGAACTCCAAAACGACTGTATACTTCCTTAAGCAAATATAGGCTTCTTTCTGAAGCCTCCAAGGAACTCAGGGTGGATTGCGGGGCTGCACCTGGCGGCGTCTCACTTACCCACACGGACACGGAGCGGTCCTTACTGCCCACAGCACAGCAGCAGTACGGGCAGCTGGGCTTGGAGGAGCTGCCGTTCTTCTGCATCTTCTTAAAGATTTTTGGGTTAAACTTCTGAAGGGGGCACAGAGGCAGAAAAAAAGAATGTGTCACAAATAGGGATGCTCCTTTTGACCGTTTAACCGTTAACCGAAATAATTAATTTTGACCGAATATTACTATCAGTTAAACGGTTTAAAATGTTTTTATATATATTTTAATTATTAGTAGTAGTATGAAGTTTTGTGGCATCTTAGCTGAAGATCGCTTTTCACGTTCTAAATACACTGGGTTTGAATCGG